CCGCCTCCGCCTGGCCTGGCCCCTCCTCCGCCTCTCCCGGCCCCGCCTCCGCCTGGCCTGGCCCCTCCTCCGCCTCTCCCGGCCCCGCCTCCGCCTGGCCTGGCCCCTCCTCCGCCTCTCCCCGCCCCGCCTCCGCGTCTCCCGGCCCCTCCTGGGCCTCTCCCTGACAGGCCGGAAGGGCAGTCCTTCCCCACTGGGCTGCTGGCAGCGCCTGGAAGGCAGCGGCGGCGGCTCCGGGAGGCTGCGGTCTCGGCATGGACACCCGGCTGGACCAGGAGACTGCGCGGTGGCTGCGATGGGACAAGGTGAGGGACGACAGGGTGTGGGAGCGTCGGATGGAGAAGTGGGGTTCCTCTGCACGCCCCAGGAGCCCCCACCTTTCCTGCGGGGAGTGCGGGTGCCTGAGCTTCCTTCCCTCCGGCCGCTCGCACCTGCAGGGCCCACGGCCGGTGGAGAAACGGAGGTGGAGTACCGAATTATGAATATGCAGATTACGACCTGCTACAACCTGTCATAGGGAGACACCCCCTTGAGGCCACAGCTCGCTCCCTCAGCTGCCGGGCTTCCTCTTTGGGGAAGTGGAACCCACGGGGCATATTGATGCAAGGCGCGGTTGCAATACATCCACACAAAGGAAGTAGAGCCACTCACTGGTTGTATTACTTACAGATTCAAGGGGAGGGGGGCGGTATGCAGAGAGCCGGGGCAAGGTCAGTCCTCCGTCCCAGGTATGACGTCCCGGGGAGCCGGAGAGAGGGTAGGGTAGCAAGCACCCAGTATAAGGTGGTTAGGGCGGCGGTCACTAACTTTTCCCCGGGCTGAACTCTAAGTGCTTATTTAAAAGATGCCCCGGGAAAAGCAAAGGAAAACTTGGGGCGGAAATCCCTCTGGGTGTGAGCTGGGTTATAAAGTAAAATGACTTGGCAGCAACCCAGAAAGACTAAGTTGTTTTTCTCATCAAATGCGGGAAGACGGAAGAGGAGGAAGCTGGGGTGGCCAGGCCTCCTTGTGTTTGGCCTGCACGTGGCAAAGCCGGGGCAAGCCCGGAAAAGTTGTCCCGGGACAAAGCCAGCCCTTTGGCCGTCTGGGGCTCCAAGTTCGGGAGAGGGAGAGCGAGCCCGAGCTGATCTGAACTCGGCCGGCCGGGCTCTGGGGCCGCGTCCAATTGGGGCGTGCTCGCGTGCCCGCGTCACTCGGACCGCTGGCTCGTCCTTTAGTAGTACGCTGTGCATCCCCAGAAACCCAGAATCGTTCCGTCCAGCCTATTCCTTTTGCTCCTGGGAACTTTGCAGGGAGCAGTATTCCCATCCACCTCTCCCAGGTGCTTGGTTGAGAACGTGCGTGCTCCTGATTGGGCCCGCCTGGCTTCAGGCGTTTTCTTGTGGTCTCCGACTTTGTTGGAATGACAGAAGGGAACTCCTTGAGCACAGCACCGCTAGCTTTTATCCTGTTCACTCTCTTAGGTGCAGGAGCAGAGAGACCCCGCAGCAGACAGCACCTCCTCCCTTCTTTAACTCTCCTACTTGCCCCTTGGGGCAGGCTGTTTGTTTTCCCGGGAATGTTCCTTCCTCTTCTGCTGAATTTGTTTCTCAAGCTGTTAACTCCTGTTTCTGGCCTGAACTTACATGTGATTTATGTAGAGGGGCCTTCCCTGGCAACCAGTGATAAATTATGTCTCCCTAATTGGTCTGCATTGCTCAAAGCAAAACAAAAAACAAACCAAAAAAAACCCCACAAAAACTTGTTTGTAAGTGTATTTGTTTAATGTCTGGCCCACCAGGGCTGACTTCGAAGGCAGGACATGTGTTGGGTGGCACGACCCTGTTCTAGGAGGTTCCAGCACTTGGTACGATCCTCTGCTGTCCTGTTTTGAAATTCACTTGTTGAACAAGGAGTCCCACATTTTCATTTTGCACTGGGCCCAGACAAATTATACAGCCGTGCCTGTCCACTCCTCCACTAACGTACATGGTTTTTAGAGCCTGACACAGGGCACTGGTCTTAGCAGACACCTAAAATACTGGTAGGGTGAAAGAGGGCAGATTGTAAGCTCTGTCAGCAGGGGCCAGGCCTTCCTCCTTCCCCGGGGCCCCTGTACTTGAAATGTGAGCACATCCCGCCCAGGATGCTATTGGCAACTCCTTGGGTGGCTTTTCTTTTCCTGGAAAGACAGCCTGGTAATTCTTTAGGGAAGGGAAAATGTTTCCATTCGTGATAACTTCGTAACTTGAGGTGGGTAGAATCCTTTTAAAGTCATAATTGATCGTGTGTTTTAAACCCATGAAACATTCTCTTCGAAGAAGTCAAAACCTAACTTCTGCAAGATCTTGTATCTGTATATGGAGAGAGAGTACTTCCCTGGGTAGAGGCAAAGGGGATGTTATCCTTTTTAGTTTTTAATTTCTACGGCTCCTCTTGCTTGTTTTTTCCTGTCTCAGTGTCTTCCTTGGTTTGAGACAGACACCGGGTGGGGAACGTCCTGCCCACCAAAGGCACTGCAAGCCCTCTGGTCTGATTCCCCCACGTTGTATAGCTGACCCTGTCCACTCCCTCACTGGTGCGGAGGGCCTGACACAGCACACTGCACAAGGCAGGCACCCTCTGCATTTCCACTGTGCCTTCATCCCCTGTGTCTCAGCTGTCAGCTTTAGTCACACTCAGGGCCGGTTCTGATCTCTGCCGCCCTCTTGACTTTGTATTCTTCTCTCTCTGCCTCCTTTGGTTTCTCTCAGGCTATTAGGTCTTTTATGGCTATCAAAGGCCAGGTGGCATTTTCCAAATCTACCCTGTACACAGGGGAATCACTGGACATTGGGTGTGACCTTAAAGTCGGTGTTTTCTCATTCACTCAGCAAATATTTATTGAACCTCTTTAATGTGCCAGATCTGAGCCCTTCCTTGAGGGCACCTGACAATCTGGTTACTCAGATGGTGCTCTAGGATCACCGGCTATGGCTCTTAACCCAAAAGGTGGGGTTTTACTTGATTCTAATCAAGGTAGAACAATATGGAAATGTGGGCTCCATTCCAGAAAGCAAAGGTTTTATTGCAATAGCATTTCAAATTTTAATGGCGTGGCATATCTTGGCTGCAGGTTCATTTAGTTGGATCGTGACTGTAAGATAAAGTGCTTACTTTCTTGTTCCTCTGAAGTCTTACTTTAAAAACCTGATGTGGAATTAATGTGATTGTCGTTTTCCTCCATTCTTCACATTTTCTGCAACTCTGTACAAAGAAATAGGGCAATGTAAAATGAACTTAAATGGTTCACATGAGCATCTATTTGAAACAGTTCATGTAATAGAAAAAGCACTAGATCAATGTTCAAGCAAGTCACTTAACCTCTGAGGATCCCCATCGACGAATTGGGGTTTTTGTTATTTGTCTCTTGCACCCACTGCATGTGTCACATTTGAGAGAATTGTACAAATTATGGCATGACAATAGTAAGTTTTTTTTTTAAGTTTATTTATTTATTTGAAAGAGAGAAAAAGCTTGAGCGGGGGAGGGGCAGAGAGAGAGGGAGAGAGGCAGAGTCCCAAGCAGGCCCTTCATCAACGGGGCTCCAACCCAGGAGTCATGAGATCATGACCTGAGCTGAAGTCGGACGCTTAACTGACTGAGCCACCCAGGTGCTCCAGTAAGGTTTTGATTTAAATTGTATAATCTCACAACTCTGTGGGAAAATTTGAAGATATTAGGGAAGAAAATGAACTAAATGCCAAGCAGAGAAAAATGTTTTACATTAATTTGATGTGAAGTACCTCCAAACCACCTTGTGAAGGAGGTTCTAGACTGTTCCCATTTTACAGATGAGGAAACTGAGAATTCAAGAAGCTAAGTAGGCTACCCAAGTACACAGAGTTGGTACATGATGATGTGACTGGCATTCCATTCTGGGTGTTAGATCCCAAAACCATGTGTTCGTTCCATTTCTCCGAAAGCACTTGCCTTGATGGGCAAAAAAATAACATATTATAAAGGAGAAAACAGGGCTCCTGGGTAGCTCAGTCGGTTAAGCGTCTGACTTCCGCTCAGGTCATGATCTAACAGTTTGTGAGTTTGAACCCTGCATCAGGCTCTGTGCTGACAGAGCGGAGCCTGGAGCCTGCTTCGGATTCTGTGTCTCTGCCCCCGCCCGCACCCCTGCTCATACTCTTTCTCTCTCTCTCAAAAATAAATAAACATTAAAAGAATTTAAAAAAAAAAATAAAGGAGAAAGCTATTTTCTTATACTCACAACACTTCCGACCCCAAATGTGTGGTTTTTCCACAGCAAGTTAATTTCCAACTCTCCATGGATACCAACTGGGCATCCTACAATGTAACTCAATTCCGACACTACCCAGAGTCAGCACAGACTTCCCTCTCGGATCTTGGGGGCTCCGTCCCACAAAACTACCCCCACTTCAGATGTCAGTCCAAAGCCCCAGGTGGTCACCTGGCCAACCAGTGATAAATTAGGGGTTCCCGAGACCCCCTCCTCGGGTTTGATAATTTACCAGAACCGCTCACAGCCCGCAGGAAAGCACTTTACTTACTATTACCAGTTCTATTATAAAGTATACAACTCCGGAACAGCCAAATGAGAAAGCTGCATAGGGTAGGGTGTGTGGGAAGGGCTGCAGAGCTTCTACACCCTCTCCAGGGATGCTGCCCTCCCAGCACCCCAAGTGTGCACCAGCCTGGAAGGCCTCAGAATCCAGTTGCTGAGAGTTTTTGTGGAGGTTCTGTTAACCTAGGCGCGATCGAATCATTGGCCACTGGTGAGTGGACTCAATCTCCGAGCCCACCAATCCCAAGCTGGTTCCCCTGGCAACCAGCCCCACCCTCAGGAGTCACTCTATTAGCATAAACTCCCGGTGTGGTTTGTAGGGGCTTACTGTGAATAACAAAAGATACTCTCACCCCTGCCTCTCAGGAAATGCCAAGGGTTCTAGACGCTCTGTTCTAGGAGCCGGGGACAAAACCAAAATAGTATTTCTTATCATATCACAGTATCACACATTATAATTTTTAAAAAATTGAGTCATGGTGTTGTACACGTGAAACTAATGAAACATTGTGTTTAACAATAAAAAAACTTACTCATATTTCAAGTTGCAAAACTGAGAAGCCATATATATATGGCTCTTCAAATATATATATATATGTATATATATTTATATGTATACATATTTACATATATATGTATCTTTTCAGATATATACATTATTCCTCTATAGGTTCAATCATTGTGGGTTTTTTTAATATATATTTCAGATTTTTTATTCTGCTATTCAGCTGGCTGTGTCTGTTGTATACATTTCTGTTTTGCAGAATCCTTTAACTTTGGAGTCAGTGAAACAACTAATTGCAGATGGAAATAAAGAAGAACTAGAAAAATGCTTTGGGGCCCGAATGGAGTTCGGGACAGCTGGCCTTCGAGCCCCAATGGGAGCAGGAATTTCTCGTATGAATGGCTTGACCATCATCCAGACTACACAGGTACCACATTTTCATATTTCTTGGTCATTCTTAACACATCCCCAGCGTTAAAAGATAAAACTGAGGCATGGTAAACGTTTTAAGAGTTAGTTTCTGTTTGAATTGGTCAGTGCCAAACCGGAAGTAGTTAGAATCCCACTGGCAGGGGCTGGAAGAAAGACTTACATAGGAGAGGAAGAGGCAAGGCAAGGAAATTCGCGGATTTGGGAGTGGTTGCCTTATTTGGGAATGTCTTGCAGGCAGTTTGTGATTAGCTGTCCTTAGGTTTTAATTTCTTAACCTTTAGGCATTTACAGGCTTGGCCTTTGGTTTGCTTCTATAGATAGACTACTAAGGCATTAAGCCTCCTCAGTTTATATAACCCCAGGCTCCTTTTGCATTTGAGGGACCTAATTTGTTTTAATTATGGCCGGGTCTTGTGGGTTTGCCAAGGCGCAGGGACATTTACTCAGTCAAGTAAGGCTTGTGCAGTTGGTTAAAGGGGTAACTTGTTTCAAAATTCATACAAAACTCATACAAATTCAAAATTCAAACAAAATTCATACAGCCTAGGTGGCTCAGTCGGTTGAGTGTCTGGCTTTGGCTCAGGTCATGATCTCACGGTTCATAAGTTCGAGCCCAGCATCGAGCTCGTGGCTGTCAGAGCAGACCCCGCTTCCCTATCCTCTATCCCCTCTGTCTTTGCCTTCTCCCTGCTTGCGCTTTCTCTCTGTCAAAAATAAATAAAAACATTAAAAAAAATCATACAGCCTTCCTTTCTTCCTTTCATTCAGCAGAGATTTATTGAATGCCTACTCTGTGCCACGCTTTGGAGATATAACAGTGTGACTCAAACAGACAGATTCCCTCGTGGAACTTTCATTCCAGTGCACATCCACCTGCTAAACTGATGACTTTTATGGTTTTGTAATTTTTGCAATGGTGGAGCAGGTGCAAGCATTGAAAAGTGTTTCTAACTACCAGAATACCCGGGAGCTGATTCTATTTCATTTTAATTTGTAGTATAGGTGGAAATTACTGCTGAGTTCCTTTGCTTTCATTTGTGAATTTTACTGTCAGAGTCTACACCCAACTGCCGGGAATAGACATGAATCCTTTGATGAAACAGAAGAGCTCCCATGGAGTACCCGGAGTTTTGTTTTTGAGGGAAATGAAGAACAGATTATTCTCTTTCTTCAACTACATATGCTTGTTTAAAAATGAAGGTGGCTTTGGGCACCTGGGTGCCTCAGTCGGTTAAGCACCCGACTCTTGATTTCAGCTCAGGTCATGATCTCACGGTTTGGTTTGTGAGATCGAGCCCTGTGTCGGCCTGTGCACTGACAACGTGTAGCCTGCTTGGGATTCTCTCTCTCCCTTTTCCTCTGCCCTTCCCCCACTTGTATTTGTGCACTCATGCACGTTCTCTCTCTCTCTCAAAAAAAAAGAGAGAGAGAGAGAGAAAATGTAGGTGACTTTAATTCTGAAAGGTAAAAAGGCTAGAAAAAATGACTAATGATTACGTGTACCTTACACGTATCTCCCAGCATAAAAGGCAGACTTGAGCATGTTCTAGTGAAACCCAAATAAGGAAGTCTTGTGTAAGGGTATGGACTTATGCCACGGGAACCCTGGCTACAAATTTCTGTAAGCCATAGGGCTCCCTGAGATCTTCTTGGAGGGAGGCTTAGAATGGAGCGAGCCTGGGAATCCTGTTCTAGTTTATGGTTTGCATGGGATCGTGCCACTTGGGAAAGTCACCCTCTGCTCTAGGTACCAGGGCTGTATAACTAATCGCCCAAAACATAGCGGTTTTGAACAACAACCACATTTATTTTGCTCACACATCTATAATGCAGGTGGAGTTCAGTCGGGACAGCTCATCTCTGCTGGACCTGGCATCTCTTGAGCCAGCTTAGAGGCTGGAATCACCTGAGAGCTCATTCAAGCACACGTGTGCAGTTACTGCTGACTTTTGGCTGAGAGCTAAGCTGGGGCTGGAACGTTCTGTGTGCCCCGGGCTTCCTTACAGTATGGCTTGGAGAGCAGCCAGTGACAGCATCCAGAGAGAGTGTGCACAGGTGGAAACCCTATTGATTTTTATGACCTAGCCTTGAAAGTCACACAAATTCACTCCCATCATGCTCTGTTTGTTAGAATGACTCAAGGCTGTTCCTGTTCAGGGAGAGGGCACATAGATACCCACCTCTCAATGGAGGAATGTCACTGTCCCATTAGAGGAGCACAGGGAATGGGATGTATCCATATGGCTATCTTTGGAAAGTCCAGTTGGTTACGTCTCCATTAGGCTTAATTGCTAGGGGGTTCTAAGGGATTCAAGATGAACTCAGAGCCTTTTCTCCTATATTCATCTACATCTAGTTTCTGAGTATGATGAAATCTATCCTCAGAAAGGTCTTAGGCCCTGTCTCACACATCATCTCCCCTAGGGGAATTGGCCCCTTCTGAGAGGAGACCTTGTGATTGTTAAGAATCCCACAAAACTGAAATGAGGAGATCCTTTAAAGGTCCGCTGATTCAACCAGCCACCCCTTGTGATAATTTCTTCTACAGTCCCCACCACTTTGACCTGATTATCCAGCCTACTCTGGAACATTTATAATGGGAGACAAGGATGTTTAAATGTACGACAGTTTTATGACATCAGCAGGTACATTTTTAAAGTCTTAGGAGTGGTTTCAAAATCAGAGAAAGAGGATTCCCAGGACAAACCACTCATAGTTTGAGATTTTGAAAGTGTACAGAATTCCTTTATTATGTCCTTTGATAACATTTCAATTCTGAAAACCTCCCTGATCCCATACTGAGTCCTCTCTAGAATAAACTTTCCCTCTTCCCTTAGCCATTTTCTCGAATCCTTAGTCTCAGCTGGCCCCAGTGTTTTTTGTTTTTTGTTTTTTAAATATTTGTTTATTTTGGGGAGAGTGCAAGCGGGGGAGGGGCAAGGAGAGGAAGACAGAGGATCCGAAGTGGGTTCTGCACTGATAGACTGACAGCATCGAGCCCAATGTGGGGCTTCAACTCATGAACCCAGGAGATCGTGACCAGAGCTGAAGTCAGACATTCACCTGACTGAGTCACCCAGGTGCCCCAGCCTCAGAGTTTTTTTTAAAGAAGTTTGGTGCTGTGAGGGTTCTGGGCTTACACTGAGTGCTTTTTGTGCCCTTAAACACTGGGGCCATAGGGCAGGGGTTGAGTGGGGCTGGGGAGAGGGTGCTGTCGCTGATGGAAGCCTTAGAAGCATCTGAGTACCTTCTGGAAAAGCCACAAAACCAACGTACATTTGTCCTTATTTCCTATATCACTCAAACTCAGAAGATCAGCCCAACACAATATTTTGGGGAAAAACTGAAGGTATTCTCAATTGGCACTGCTCTGGCCACAAAACTGTGAAGTATCTCCCCTACCAAAAATAAGTTATATTTATTTTTAAAAGACTTCCTTCAAGGGAGGGGACCAAAAAAAAAGACTTCCTGCAGTCAAAGTGAAATAAGTAATATTCTTACCTAATCAGCCAGAGTTCTATTTGTTCTGTAATAAAACCTATTTTGTCCAGTGATATAAACCTATTGAGTTCAAAGTTCACTGTTTTCTAATCTTTCATATTTCAGATGGATGTGAGGTTATTGCACACACTGAGATACAGGAATTGCATGTTCCATTAATTGTAGGCAGATGATAATAGCCCAAACTCTGCACAATTTTTATGTGTATAATTGGCTATGCCATGCAATTAGACTGATAAGGCCTCCATAAAAGTTTGGCTTGCTAGAAAACAAGATCACAAGTAGAACAGGTTTAGACCAGATGATTGCCAAAAGCTTATAAAGCATATTAAGTTTCTTTGACCTTCTGATGTTACCGAGCAGGCTGAAACGTCTGAAACACCTCCCTGTCCCCAGACATTTTAGAACTAGTGTAAAGGAAGGAATATAGACTTTAAAGGAAAATAATAAAAATAATGTTCATAACAGCAAACACATAGTGCTTACTTGGTGTTGGATTGTCAGCACTTAGCATATTAATTCAATCCTTAAAACAGCCCTTTGGGGTAGGTACTGTTGTTTTCCTAGAAAACAGAACAGGAAACTGAGGCACCAAGCGATTAAGGGGTTTGTCATTTGCTCATAGGTGGCAGAGTGGAGTATGAAGCCCACAGATGCTGTGTGTTTTGAACCCCTGCACTATACTGCCTGCAACCAGACCCAGGCAGAAATCCGGGCTCTGCTATTCATGTGTCCGGCAAGCCTCCCTGAGCCTTAACTTTCCCATCCATAAAATGGGATTCCTTGGCAAAACTGATCTGGGGGTTACCGATAATAGATACTAAGTATCTAGCACAGTACCGGATACATATAGTTAGACAATAACTGAAGCTGTTAGTTTCTTATTGTTCAGTGTGTTTCATTATCCGTGGGATATTTTTTAGGGATTTTGCAGATACCTGGAAAAACAATTCAGTGACCTGAAGCAAAGAGGTGTTGTGATTAGCTTCGATGCTCGAGCTCATCCACCAAGTGGAGGCAACAGCAGAAGGTATTTAAGGATATTGAAGAAGCCTTTTTTTGTAGTGTATTTGGTGGGTTTCTTTTTAATCACTTTACATTCATTTGTCAGCTACATGGCTTAACTATAAAAAGGAGTCCGTTCTGCCTTGCAACTTTAAGAATTCTGGTTTTTCATTTAAGGGAATGAAATTATTTAGACAATTTAGAAGTTAATATGTATCTAAATGAAAGACATTTTTTTAAACGGGCAACATTATTTCTTCCTCTCATGTCATTTTTTTCCTCCACTATTCATAAGCCGCAGGAGCTTCTTCCCATTCTTGAACACCTGCTTTAAGCTGCATTCTTATATTGTTTCCAAACCACTGGGACCCTCTTGTAGCCAAAGGCAGATGATGACGGTGATGAGGGGAATAGCAGTTATTTGAGTGCTGAACATGAACTAGGCCTTCAGGTGTTTACTCATTTCATTGTCACAACAGCCTATAAAGTGTACTTTTATCTCTGTGCTCTGAGATCATGACGTGAGAGAAGGAGCCACAATTTCAGCGTAACAAAGCTGACACCAGCGGTCAGCAAACTTTACTTCTAAAAGGTCAGTAGTAAACGTTTTACGCACTGTGGACTGCACAGTCTGTCACAACTACTCGACTCTGGTGTGGAGCACAAGCACAGACATCGGTTATACATGCTGAGTGGGCATGGTGGTGTTCCAATAAAACTTCATTTCCAAAATGGGCTGCAGATTGCCAACCGCTGCTTTCGACTCCCTTTTTTACTTGAACACTTCCCCTATTGTGATGAATTTTTTTGTCACTCCAGAGTAAGAGTATTAGTAGTTTCTGAGGTTGGAAGAACATACAAATATTTAATATTGATGAAAAGTCTCCATAACTTTAGATAGTGCAGGATGAGTTCATAGAGTCCTAATCTTTGCCCATCAGGAGTTTCTAATCTAAGAGAGAAGCATTGACGGGAACCAATGTGCAGCTTCGAGGAGGGGAGCATAGCCAGGACATAAGATTAGATGACACCAGCCACCAGACTGAACTCAGAATGACGTAAGATTTTTGCTTTTAAGCTGCAGGCTCAAAAATGTGTTTTTTGTCAACAAAGCAAGAGAGAAACTGTAGCCCTGTGTTTGTAAGAGAGTGATGTAGTATCAGCCAGAATATCAGTTTGTCAGTTTCCACTTCGTGAATTTACAGTTAGAATTAGGGCATAAGCATGCGCTTTCCTGGCCCCAGGGGCAGGTCACATCCTCCAGCCAGAGCGCACCCAGTGCACGTATGTGGCCAACGGTGCCTGTTTAGCTTCTGAAATTGCTTCATTTTAGGCTGACTATCCTGCTTCTGGTTGATATATCCTTCAAACATGTTCACGTTATCAGTGAAGTTACAGATATCTCTTGCTCTGGTCTTGGAGCCATATCATTTCCTTGAAGTGACTGCCATATGAGTTTATGGTTCACGTCTCAGTGTTTGATGGGATGGAGTGGAGCTCAGGGTCGCTCTCGATCACCTACAACATGCAAGATGTTTAGAACTTGTAGCATAAATATTAAACCAATACCTGGTAAAACCTTCATGATGAGTAAATGGAAACTTCTTAAAGAGCTAGAAATGATTGGTCTCAGAATTTTATGTAAGGAACTGTTTATTTATTCTTTAATCTTCCAATTTTAAATATCTGGTGGGAAACATAAACAGTAGCTGTCAAGCATATGCAGAGAACACATTGGATCTCTCTTGTGCGGATCTGTAACTTAGTTTGTATATGTAACGTATATGCTGAGTGTCTCCCTTGCTCCTTTTAAGTCAGCGCCTTTAAAAGCAGCCAGAACACGTGATAAACATGTCAAGTCACTTCAATTCTAATAAATGAAGTTTAGACTTAATTCAGATTTTTATTAATATTGTTTTTGCTGAGTTTTATTTTTTATGAGTCTCCTTGTATGGAGCCTTTTTTTTTTTTTTTTTAACTGTCAAAATCATTTTTGTGTTTCTGTGGATCCTAAGAATTTTAACACTTGAGTTGTTAAAGCACAGAGATCTCTTTGTGCCCACCCAGCTCCAAGAAGAGTGTTGGATAAGGCTGGTCCTCAAGAAATACTTGGGGAGAGAATGAATATATATCTGGTTGCTTAATCCTGTAATGGTATAATGTAGTTCATTGGAAGAAAACTGCTCAGTTATTGTGATAAAATATTTCACTGCAAGCTGGAAGAAAGATTCAATGCTCAGTTCTGTGTCCTGCCCTAAGCTAGCCACCATGGAAGATGAGAAAAATGTCAGTGTCAAAGATTTAAATCTTCTTTTACCCTCTTGCACTGTTGCTGGGAATGCAAACTGGTTCAGGCACTCAGGAAAACAGTGTGGAGGTTCCTCAAAAAGTTAAAAATAGTACTACCCTGTGATCCAGCAATAGCACTACTAGGAATTTATCCAAATAGCCAGGAGTGCTAATGCATGGGGGCACATGTACCCCAATGTTTACAGCAGCACTTTCAACAATAGCCAAATTATGGAAAGAGCCTAAATGTCCATCAACTGATGAATGGATAAAGAAGATGTGGTTCATATATACAATGGAATACTACTTGGCAATGAGAAAGAATGAAATCCTGCCATTTGCAGCAATGTGGTTGGAACTGGAGGGTATTATGCTAAGTGAAATAAGGCAGTCAGAGAAAGACAGATATCATATGTTTTCACTCATATGTGGAATCTGAGAAACTTAACAGAAGACCATGGGGGAAGGGAAGGGGAAAAGTAGTTACAGAGAGGGAGGGAGGCAAACTGTAAGAGTCTCTTAAATACAGAGAA